ACAAATGTGTCTGTGGCAATCACCTTGCTGATGCTGGGGCCTCCCAGCCCTTAACTCTGGGTGGAACTGCCAGCTTCCCTTCTCCCACCCCACCCCAGGCTGCGGGTCACAGGGCTACATCTCTTCCTTGAAACCATGGCCAAAGGCTTAGGCTGGCCCGTCCCTCAACTCCATTGATCATCCTGTCACCCTGGACTCCTCTCTAGGCCGGTCACATCCCTGGGTCTCCTGCCTCCACACACTTGCAAAGCAGCTGCTCATTTCACACCCTAACTCCACCCCAGCCAGTCGCAGTTCTGCTCTTTCTTCAGCTCAGCAGCAGGAAGTCTTGCTGGGTAGGACCCATCTCTCCCTTCCCTGAAGGTCCCCTGCTGGGAAAAAGATCACTACGTGCTTGATTTGCTTCCCCCACTGAGCTCCAAGCCCCACATCCAGGGCCACATCTCTGTCAGCTCCAAGTCTCTCTCTTCTTGGCCCAGAAACTCTCTAACTGCCCCCTCCCGCCCCACCACGCCCCCTTCCCTCCTGCACTCTGCCCCCCTCCACCTTCACCCTAGGCTGCGCTCTGTGCTTGCTCACCTGCCACTGCGCCTGCTTCCGTCCCCGGGTCCTGGCCTGGCCGGCCTCCTCCGATCTCCCCCATCACTAGACTGCAGGCCACCCGTCACGGGAGGAAATGAGCAGGTCGCTTCCATTTGCTCTCTGTCTCCTCCCATCCCCTGGCTTAAGTGCAGGTTCTCTGCAGGCGGGAACCTGACTGTGCTTCCTGCTAGTCTCCCCAGCACTGGGCACACCACAGAGCAGAGCAGGTGTCCAGAGGTCTGTCCTGGAGAACGGTAAAAGTACTGCTGTACATGACTGAAGAGTGCTGAAGGTGAAACAGACTCACCTGGGCTCTCTCCTGTTTCATCGCCCAAGGCCAATCAATCTTGCCCCTAACAACAAACAGCCCCAGGCCCTGGGGACCCAGCCACGGGCACTGACACAGCAAGGCCCAGTGACAGGCTAGACCCTGGGGCCTAGCAGCTGTGAGTCCCCACCCAAGCTGGCTGAGCTCGGGCTGACTGGAACCCAGGCCTGCTCTGCCAAGGGTATGCAGGCCAGGCCGGGCTGCCTCCTGAGGGGCCTGAGGCCTAGGGAGAGCAGAGAGACGCGCTCTGTGTCCATGCAAGGCCAGGCTGAAGCCTGGCAGCCCTCCTAATAGATTGTGGGACTCCATGGTGGTGACGAGGTGGGACAGAAGAAGACAAAAGCAACACGAGACCCGGGCCCTCTCACTCGCCCTCCTCTGCTTAGGAGCACTTGCCTCTCCATCAGTCCCCAGGAGTTTCCGCAGGGCTCAGAGGGCCAGGCCCGCGCCCTTGCTGACCCGATGGTGCCCCTGGAGGGGAGTCTTCCTGGGGCTGGACTTCAGGCCTCAATCCCCTGACACTGATGACAAGTGAATGACTAAATTGACCTAGAATAAAAGTGCCCATAAATCTGATATTTTGCTGTAAGCTGTCGGGTACACAAAGTGTGCTAGGATTATTGATAGAAAAGTTTATGGATGGGCTGCATCTTAAAATCAAACTACATTACCCAAAATCAATGTTGCTGTGCGTGGCACAGGGAGGACAGGAGAGGTCAGCGGAGACAAGAATACCGAAACCCCACCTCAAAGAGGACCTGAGTATTAAAATAAAGAAGTTTTGAAAGTGATTCCGGGAACAACACTCAATTTAAGGCTGTAATTTAAGGGTGCTTTCACAAGCGGCTGGGCAGGCTTTTTAAACAGGACTGTTTAGGTACCTCTGAGAGCGCAGAGAAGCCATCCACAACACAGGACTGACGAGCACTGAGCACCCCAACTCAAAGCCCAGCAGCAGCAGCAGTGCTAGCGGTGGGCATGAAAGGGCACACCACGCCTGGGCGTACAGACAGTGGGCCCTGGCAGAAGTGAGCCCATGGGCACAGCCACTGGACAAGCCAGGGAAACTGTGGGGCCCATGGGTCGTATAACAAGTGGTGTCACCGCCAGGTCCCTGGCCACAGTGACCCCACAGGCAACTTCAGAGCTATGCTTGGAGACAGGGAGGGAGGGAAGGAAGAGAAAGGGAGGGAGGGAGAGAGAAATCTTCTCCCTACCTCCTGATGCGCAATCAGGGCCAGAAACTACCCAATTGTGAAATGCTTTCATGACCCTACTTCAAATCACATAAGCAAGATTTACTCTCAGCAGGGCATCATGAAGGAGCCCAAGGGACACTTGCAGTCAGCAGGGGAATGGCTGTGTCCCTACAGAGAAGAAGTGTCTCTTGGGAGAAGCAACACACAGGCTCCACCACAGACGCCTTTGGTATAGCCACCAACTGAGAGAGCATAGCCCTCCAGGACCTGACGCCACTGCGGTGTCGGCAAGGATCTGTGGGAACTACAGCCTGGTTTCAGCTGACTGACCCTCCAACTGGCCAAAGGGTTAAGTCACAGTCCCTCCCTGGCCCACCAGGAAACCCCCCAGCAAAGGACAAGAAAGTGCCCCTTTTCCGCTGCTCCTGACCACACTCCTAGTTCAAACATTCGCTGGGCCCTAAGTCTGCATCCGGCCCGGCTGAGAGGTAAAGACACCGGGAAGGTCCCATCACTGCCCACGGAGGCTACAAGCATGGGCAGAGGAGCAAACTGACCCTTCAAGCCAGGGCTAAGCAGACAGAGCAGAGACTGCAGCTGCTGCCAGTCCAGGCCAGGGAGCCTTGCTGTCCTTGCCAGCTCTAGGTATAGGGGACGGGCTGGAATCTTACTTGGAGTAGGTAAGAGATGGGGTTTTGGTAAGAACTGGCATCCCAGAGTAAGACAGACCAAGGGTGACACCTCCCTTGGCCACTTATTAGCTGTGTGACCTCAGGAAAGTTTCATAAGCTCTCAGCTTCAGCCACCTCATCCATATAATAGGGTGAAATCACAGTGTCTACAGGGATGAAATAACCTCACTCAGGCACTCTACACATATTCACTGAATACCTTCCCCGTGCCAGCCCCTGCTTTAGTGGACTGGAGATACATCAGGCTGGACAAAAAGCTTTACAGACCTTGAAATGCAATAAAAGTCTATTGCACCATATGTTGGGAGGCGGTGAATGGAAAGGAAAAGAGAAAATGGGGAACCGAATGACAGGGTAGGGTACCGGGCAGGGAACTGCAGTTTGCCCTGTTAAACAAGATGATCCAGGTGAGCCTCCCTGAGAAGGTGACTTCCCAATCAAAACCACAACATTATAGAGTTAGCCAAGCAGGTACTTGAGGGTACAGCATCTCAGCCAGCTGGAATGGGTCATGCAAGGGCCCTGGGGTGGGAGCAAACCCAGTGGGCAGCACTGCAGGAAAGAGTGTGGCAAGAGGCGTGTGAGCCAAGGAAAGGACAGAAAAGGTGAGGGGGATGAAAGCAGAGAGGAAAATAGGGTTTGGGGGAACGGATCATTTGCCCATAGCACACCACTGGTGTTTATGTTGAGTTAAACAAGAGCTACTGCGGGGTTTTGAGCAACAGAAGGGTGATCTTCTCTCTGTTTGAGAAGGATTTCTCTGTTGTCATGTTGAGAACTGATGCGTGGAAAATGTGCAGCTGGTGTCTGCTACATGAAAAGCATGCTGTAACATGTAGCCATTACTCTTGTGAGTAATAACACTAACTCCTGCCGTGGGCAAATAACCCCTTACCCCACACAGTGGAATAGACTTGGACAAATAGCCAACCTTAAAGGTAACCAAGGTGTGCTCCCCCTAGCTGCAGGAACTCTCCTGTTGCACATTCCAATCACAGGCCCTCGGTCTCCCTGGGATCTCTCTGGTATCAGCAGAGATTGCTGCCTCTGCAGGCAGGCTGCACCCTGCGCAGTGGGCTAGCTCTCGCCATCAGAACCCTGCTAGGAATCCGTTTCCAAACGCAATCTGCTTTCCTAGAGCCCTACTATGGTCCTGAATCTGTGTGGCACAGTGCAAATCTGCCCCCTCCCTTCAGAAGCTGAAGACAGCAATGCCCCTAAGGGTCTTACATTCATGGGTCCAAAGTGGCTCCTAAGGGCAGATGGAATTCCCAGGGGAAAGGTGGCCACTGGTGATGAAATCACAGGAGGTGCTGGCAACTGCCTCTTTGGAGCCCCTGGAGATGAGCTCCAGGGAGAGGAGGAAGGTCCTGCCCTGTCCTCCTGTTCTAACAGAGGACCTTGGGGAGCAGACACTAGCTCGCCGCCCAGACACTAGCTCGAGCACCAGAGACCTAAGGCTAGAGATGGCCTAGAGATCCTTGGTCACGGATAAGGGCACTGAAACGCAGAAAGGAAGGGCGTGTGGCACCCAGGGGCTTCTGCTGGTGAGAACAGGGCTGAGAAGGGCTCGCAGTGTCTTCCTCGGATGCAGTGCCACTAGCTGTTTGGACTGCTGGAAAGTGGTTTCCCTCTGGCTTTCCTTTCCCTGGCTCCCTGGAAACCCTCTGGCGGCGCCTCAGGGAGGCTAGTGAATGGGCAAGGCAGACTCGGAAGCCACTGAGTTGCCCCACCCAACCTCAGGTCAAAGCTGCGGGGGCCCAAGATACAGACGGGGAATTCCTATAGGGAAGAGAATGCCAAGAGACCCAAGCCGAGGTATGGGACTGGCCCTAGGCCTCTGTGCCCTGTCCATCCACACAGCCGCCGCACGTCTCCCTTCGAGGACCAAGCCGCACTCCCACTGTGTCTGAGGTGGCAGGCTCCGGGTGACAGCTGAGCGAGGCACTGGGATGCCGGGCTTGCAAGAGCGGGGGATGGGCTCCGGAGCGCGGCTGTAGACGCGACCTCTGCCTCCCGTTGCCTCGGGATCCCCCCTTGCACCGGTAAAGAGCGAGCAAGGACCAGCAAAGAGCTGAGGGACTCAGGGACAAGCTCTCCAGGGGCAGGAACCCCGCCCCCGCCCAGAAACCTCCCGGGCCGAGTCGTGCCCGGCGCTCCCCCCCCCCCCCCACCCCCGCCGCCTCTGCCGTCACTCACGGCCGCTGCTTGCCGCTCGCTGGTGCGCTCTCCGCGCCACAGGCACCTGCTCGCCCGGCGCTGTGCGCTCACTTCTGGCTCACACACTGCAGACTCGGCGTCGCCGCCGTCACCCGGCCGCGTCCCCGGCCCGGCACAGCGCTCCGCCCTTCTTCCCGGCCCCCGGAGCCCACCCACCCGCCATGGCCCGAGCCTGGGCCAAAGAGTGGTGCGGCTCTTTACCCAAAGCCGGGTAAGGAGCTGAGGCCCGGGGCTACGGAGACAGCCCGGGACCCACGGGGAGCAGGGAGGAGCGGCCGTCTCGAGGGATGGAGACTGGGAAGAAGCCAGGGAGAGTTTAGGTGGGAGGACCCCCAAGCAAAGCGGGTGCGGGGCGGAGCTGCGCTCCAGCCAGAGAGATGGTGGTCCCTCCGAGCGACCCCCGCAGAGGGAGGGGGCGCTCCAGGGCGGGGGCGGCGCGGGCTGTGGCAGGGGAGGGGAGAGGAGAGGAGGGCGGGGGTGATGCGGCGGTGGAGGCTGCTCGGCACCCATCCACTGACCGCCCCCTCCCTTCTCTTCCCCTCCCCCCTCCCCTCCTCTCTCCGGCTCTGGGTCCGCCGCGCCGGACCCGCTCTCCTCGCGCTGCGTTGGGTCGGACGCCAGGTCTGCGCGCCGCGGCTGAGCGCCCACTCGCGTTGCGGAAAGATCCGCGGAGAAACCGGCGGGGGCGGCGGCGGGAGAGCTCGGCGGGAGCCGGAGGAGGTGGCAGTCGGAAGCCGAACTGGAGGAGAACGGGAGACACTAGCTCGCCGCCCAGAGACGCGCATTCCCTCGGCCAGGGATGGGTCCTGGCGCAGCCCGGCCCCTTCCCGGCCCGCCGGGCAGAGACTGAACAGAGCATTCCCGTGGTCCTGTGGACAAGCGGACAGAGGAAGACACTGACCGATCGCCAGTACCCTTTCGCCGGGACCTCGCCCGCTGCGCACTCCGCGCAGCGCCCCCAGCCGGAGCCGCGCCGGGCCAGCGGGCGAGGGAGCCGGGCTGATTGGCGGCCGCCGGCGGCCAGGGGAGGGGGCGCCGTGCGGGGCCATGGCAGGCTCCGAGGCGTCCTAGCCCTAGCGGGAGCCGGAGCCGAGCCCAAGCTGCTGCCACCACCGCCTCTTCGCGCCCCGGCCCCCGCTGCCGCTGCGCCCCTGCGGGAGATGGAACAGCGGAACCAGCTCGGCGCCCTCGGATACCTGCCGCCTCTGCTGCTGCACGCCCTGCTGCTCTTCGTGGCCGACGGTGAGCGCGGGAACTTCGCTGCGGCGGTGGGCTCGGGGAACCCTCTGCGGGGGCCGCCGGAGACAGCTTGCCTTGGCCGCCACAGAAAAAACTGGAGGAAGAGAAGGAAGGGAAAGGCTTCGAGGTCTCCAGCTATCCCTGTGTTCAGCCTGGGCCCGGAAGGGTAGGGGGAGGAGAGTCCGGCTGGGGTCCGGCCACAGAGAGGAGGATGCGGGGAGCGAGAGTTGGTGCTCCCCAGCCCGGCTCTGGTGGTGCGGCCCAGCGCGGGGGAGAAGCGTGCCTGCCCCTGTCGCCCCGCCCGATCCGGAGGGAAGCAGCCAGCAGACGGCGGCCGGTCTCTGCACCCGCCCTGCAGCTGCTCCGCTGAACTTTGCTGGCACCTCGGGCCGTGGACCACGGAGCAGCTGGGGAGAGGGGGAGCCCAAGGCCAGCAAGCGAGAGAGCGGGAGACCGACCGCCTCGCCTTGGGTTGCCCCAAGCCCCCGCCCTGCAGCTGGTCACGCCTCTCTCTCCCCCGCCCCCAGCTACATTCACCGAAGTCCCCAAAGATGTGACAGTACGGGAGGGAGACGACATCGAAATGCCCTGCGCGTTCCGGGCCAGTGGAGCCACCTCGTATTCGCTGGAGATTCAGTGGTGGTATCTCAAGGAGCCGCCTCGGGAGCTGCTGCATGAGCTGGCGCTTAGCGTGCCGGGCGCCCGGAGCAAGGTAACCCGCCGCCCACGCGGCGTCGGCCACAGCCGGCTCAAGCCCGGGGGCGGAGAGGGTTACCCCGGGAATACGGCAGCAGCGGGGTTCACGGACGCAGGGCTCCTCCCTGTCGCGCAGCCCACCCTCTGCATCCCCACGGCATCTTCCGAGTCAAGGATTGTTATCCCCGAATCCTGCCAATTCTTTTTGAGTTTCCCTTCTGCAACCTCCCAGAACTCTATTCACGCCCAGCCCCTAAAAATCTACACCTCATCCAGCTAACAGTTCTTGATTGCTGCGGGACCAGCATCTGATGGGATGCTGGTTGAAGAGGGACGATCACTTGATCCCAACAGTCTCTCCCTGCCCTCAGTCACTCTGAGTTCTCTCGGGGCACAGGGCCAACGAGTTAAGTTCCTCTGGGCTGCATTCCAGAGGCCGGCAGAGCACCGTGTACAGGGGAAACCAGGTCACCTCTAGCTTCCCCAGGATCCGAGGGACGGCTTCCATGTGGCGGAACACCGTCTGCCTTCTCGCCCATATTCTCCTACACCCGCTCCAGCACACATACTCATCCCTGCACTCCTGCCAACATTCTCCCCAGGGTCCCACTCAAAGTTACTGCTCATGACTCCCATCGGGTCCTGTCCAGACACACCAGTCCCTCTGTCCAGTTTTTTACGATTCCTAATTTATTAAATCGAAGATTTGGAGAAACGCAGCAGGCAAAGCGGGTGCTGTGCAGGAGAGAGACGCGCCCCCCCAACTCCCCTCTTCCGGTGGCAGGTGTGTGCTAGGGAAGCCACTCCTTGTCCAAGCCCTTTGCTTGCTCCAAACTCCGCTTCGTTCCTAACAAACTGCTGGAAATCCTGGCGTCTTTTGGGCCTTCAGTCCTCACCCCATCCCCCACCCTCGCCCGCCTGCAACTCCAAAAAGTGTTGGGCCCAGCCAGCCCGCTTAGGGTTCCCTGGCCACAGGCAGGTCTGAGTTCTCTAAGCTCGAATACCATCAACCTAATGTCTTTCCCTCCCCTTTGCATTTTAGGTAACAAATAAGGATGCAACTAAAATCAGCGTAAGTGTGGAGCCCAGCGTGGGCCGCGTGAGCCCCCTTCCGGTCGCTTCGCGCTGCGCAGCTCCCTCCCCTTCACCGCGCCTCTCGGGCTGCGCTTTGCAGAGCCGCACTCGCGGCCTGGCGTCTGCTGCTTTGGTGTCTGGGCGCTAGTAGCTGGGTCAGGTTCACTTTTGTGTGAATCAAGGATCCAAGGCTTGAGTTCCCCCAACTCGGCTGGGCTGGTCGCTCACCTGTAAGCTGTTCTTCCCCGGGACCGCGCGCTCTGTCTGCTCAGTCTGCTCGCCTTTTTCCGGCTACCACTTCTCCCAGCTGCGCTAGCGCACGGCCGCCCGCCCTTGCCGCGACGCGCATTACCGCTTTCCAACCTCTCTGCCCCGCCCAGCACAGCAGCCCGGCGCCCTGGGCAAGAGCCCGCTCCCTCTGCCTGAGCGCAGAGCATTGTCGGCTCGTGTAGGGTGGGATGGTCGGCAGTTTCTCCGAGCTGTGCAGGGCCCGGGTCGGGAGGAGTCACGCCCCAGCTTGCCCTGGAGGAGCGCGGAAGTAGCAGGGCCTAGAGATTAGGAGTCTGCTCGTGGGTTCTGCGCTGAGGCAAAAGCTCCCTGGGTGCTTGGCGAGGGCCACTGAGGGCCTCCACCAGGCTTCAGAGGAGCGCTTTGTTGTGGGCTCCAGCAGACTTAGCTGAAAGGCAGGTTCCTAGCAGGGGACCAGGAAGGTCAGGCAGTGGCCATGGCGTCGCCTGCCTCCTTGGGAGGGTAAGGTCGGGCGCTGGGCTGGTGTAGTACTTGGAAAGACGCGGACCCTTAACGAATAGAGCCCCAGCATGAGGTTTTTTGAAGGTCAAACGATGGGGAAGCGAAAGCTCCTTGAAGATGAGAAAAGCAGGTGTGTGGGGACAGGGAGGGGGTGGGGTATGCAAGATGCGGTGCCCAGTAACGACGAGCAACGGGGAACTCGGGCGGTGGGCACAGCAACACCAAGAAGAGCTGGGAGCCCCCACACCACTGAGGAGACAGATGAAAGAAAAGCGGAGTTCTGGGAAGTATTGGGGTGCACTCGGGCGAGATGGCAGGGTTGGGGCACTGACGGCTCCAGCCTTAGGAGCAGGTCTGGGCCCTGCCAGCCCCGGCTTTAACCCCGCTCTCTTGCAGACGGTGCGCGTCCAGGGCAATGACATCTCGCACCGGCTTCGGCTGTCGGCCGTGCGCCTGCAGGACGAGGGCGTGTACGAGTGCCGCGTGTCGGACTACAGCGACGACGACACGCAAGAGCACAAGGCCCAGGCGCTGCTGCGCGTGCTCTCGCGCTTCGCGCCGCCCAATATGCAGGCTGCAGAGGCCGTGTCGCACATCCAGAGCAGCGGGCCCCGTCGCCACGGCTCCGCCAGCGCCGCCCACGCCAACCACGCGGGCGCCGCGGGCCGCACCACCTCAGAGCCCGGCCGAGGCGACAAGAACCAGCTGCCTGGGAGCCCTCCTGCAGCCCACGGACCCGAAGTCCCCGAGACCGCCGCCACCTCCGTGGCCCACACAGCCGCCACCACCGTGGCGGCTGCAGCCGCGGCTTCGTCAGCGTCGCCGCCACCCCGCCAGGCGGTGCTTCTACGCCAGAGACACGGCTCAGGTAAGATGGGCGCACGCGGGAGAAGACGCGCTCGGGCAGCCTGTCGCTCTCCTGTGCCTACCTTGAGTCGTGGTGGGCGCTTTCCCAGCCATCTCCCCGCCCCTTCTCTGTCGTTACCGCGGCCTCTGGGAGCTGTCAGTCCTGCGTGTTTATGGATGTCGGAGCTGCCCTGCGGCGCTGAGGCTGGAGAACGCGGGGGTGCAGGGGGGGGCGCTCTTGGGTTTGGAAAACTGGACCCTGTGGGCGGAGCTCCTACTGCGGGGTTGGGAATCAGCGTTATTTCTGTAGCCTTAAGTGTGCCTCGGGGTTTTGCAGCGGTACTGGCCTCTAGCTGAGACTGGGGGGAGGTAGTTAAAGCTAAGTGTAGGCTCAATGGAACACACCTTGTCCGGGACCTTGTGGGCAGGCCTGGCTGTGTACCCTGT